CACAGATTCTGGGGTTGTACTCCCTGGGTTCAAATCCTAACCTTGGGCAAAGGACTTAATTCCCCTGGGCCTCAGTTTCCCTATCTGTAAAATATGGATAATTATAGTAATTATCCATATTTTTACAGTAATTATAGCCATTGCCACAGAAGACTGTTGAGAGTATTAAATGAGATAATACAGGTAAAGCCCTTAGCACAGTGTCTGGCGCAGAGTTAAGTGCTCGATAAATGCCAGTTACTGTTTTCATATTAGTAAAGCTACAGAAGTGTGCGGCACAATCTAGACACAGCCACAGGCCCGAATCGTGGTATTCCTGAAGGGAGCAGTGACGTCAGGAGGGGATGGTTTGCAAAGGGCCCAGAGCGCCAAGCCGCAGCGATAAAGGCCATGGGGAGACTGTGAAGACTTTGAACAGGAAACTGTCAGTAGTGTGGAGGTGACTGGGGGAAAGGAGACCTACAAGAAGGCTGGAGCCAGGTGAAGGTGAGAGATGACAAAGCCTGAGGAGGAAAAGGAAGGTACGCAATGGTGGGAGATGGTACTGACCAAGTAGGGGATTGACTATAGGGAAGAAAGAGAAGCTAAGGAAGACTCATGCCCAACACGCTGGCTCAGTGGCTGTGTGAGCTGGGGCAACTTACTTAGCTGCTCTGGGTTTCAGTTTCTCATTTATAAACGGTGATAACAACCCTTGAAGGACTGTAATGAGGATTAAATGAGATAAAATAGAACATGTCAAATGTTTAGAAGAGTGCCAGGCACACAGTAGAAGCTCAGTAACTATTGGCTGTTATTATCACTTATTATTAATGACTCTCAGAATTATCACTGTTATTTATTTCTCAGCAAATAGTTACTGAGCACCTACTATGTGCTGCATGGTGTTCTGAAAATACAGTGGCCAACAAGATCAATATGCACCCAACATTCGGGGAGCTGACGGGAGGTGGGAGTAGGGGGAAAAGATACTCAGGTAGTAAAAATTAAATTTACGTGAAAATCCCAGGCAGTGATAAGTTATCAACAGACTAGAAGTCAAGAGGAAGTTAACAGAAGCAGGGCAGTGACCTTCCACGGAAGTCACTGAAGGCCTCCCGAGGAGGCAACACAGGAGGGGAACAGGTACGGGGATAAAGCTGGTAGCTTCGACTTGGGAGAGGACAAGATGCAGAGGGGAGGACTCCTGGGAGGCACCTGGTCCTACCTCTCTCCTGGCCCAGCCGTGGAGGCTGAGCTTCCTCCGGGACCCCTTCTGGTGGTCCAGAAGGTGACGCAGGACGGCTGGGCTGGGGGGTACCACCAGGGCTGGGCTCCGTGCCCTTCTGCAGGGAGCCTTCCGAATGGAAACTCTGGTTACTATTCTCATCTGTGAGAGCAAAAGTTGAAAGGGTTGGGCCTGAGGTCCCCAGTCTCCCCCTTCAATCCCATAGCACCCCCACCCCAAGTCCCAGAATCCCTACATACCATTGAGATCAAGCAGGATGAGAGGGCCACCCCCTCGGGGGCTGGCTCCCCTGCCCCGACGATCCCGGCCTCGGGATCTCTCTGCCCCGCCACCTGCCCTCCTTCGCTCCTGGGGATAAGAGGGGCAAGGATCAGTTTGTGCTTGCAGAACCCCCACTTCACAAATAAGTAAACCGAGGCACAAAGAAGCAAAAGGCCCTGCATGAGGTGATAGAGGTGGTGCACACTGGGTTAGGTCTTGAATTCTGGGGTCTGGAGGAGGAAAAAAGCAGAAGGGGTGGAGTTGCCAATAATTGTTAACATGTGTCTGGGCTGCTGTATTTGAGGTCTCAGAGTGGGGACTGGAGGTGGAGGCCAGGATGGGGAGGGGCTTGCCTGGGGTTGCACAGATGCAGGGTCTGGTGTTGGGGAGCTTGCTCACCTCCTCCTGGGGGTCCACCACTGGCACCCACTTGAAGATACGAAGGGAAGTGTCGCCCACAGTCACCCAGCGCTTCTCCCTGTGGGAGAGTGGGGGGACTAGGTCAGAAAGGCCTGAGTTAAGAGCCCCCCTCAGCAGCTAGATACATCTGGGGATACCTGCAGAGGTGGGAGTGGTCCATAATGAAGGGGCAGTTTTGCTAACGGGGCATAGTTAGAGGGAGAAAGAGAGCATGGGGGCGTCTCTAGTGAGAGAGAGGCTCGGGGCCATGGCTTGCACACCTCTGGGGTATACATGGGGCACAGGGCTACGGGCCTGGCTTGAAATCCGGGCATACTTTCTGGAGAAGTGTCAGAGCTTTAGGAGGTGGGGAATAAATGGGGAGCTCTTGTTCTGGGAGGACACCGCTGGAGAACAAGCTTTGTAGACCCCAGAGTGCAGCCAGGAGAAGAGGGATAGAGCCCTGTAGAACCAGGGCGCAGCTGGGGAGCACACCTAACACCTGGAGCCACAGCTGGTGAAAGGAGGATAGCCGCCTTTAGAGGGGAGTAGCCCCGCCACGTCCCGTCCCTGGCCCCGGGACTGCGCTCACCATCTCCGGACCTTCTCGATGGTCGCCATCACCTTCTTGATGTCATCCTTGGCCCGGCTCCGGGTCTCAGCCCGCACGGTCCGGCCGGCCATGCTGGCCGGGCTGGGGCCGAGACCGAGCCCGCGGCTGGGCCGCCTCCCGTCCGGCGGGCTGAGGCTCGGCGCCAGGCCGGGTCGCGGTTCTCTCGACCAGACCAAACGTCCCTTCGGGAGTTGGCCGCGCCCTCCCTCACTCCCCAGCGCCTCCGAGAGTCCCCGCCCCGCTTCCTGCCGCCGCGCCCCGCCCCCGGAGCTGCCCCACGGTGCAGACGGCCAGAACCAGGCCTGGAAGCCTGCCAGCCCCGCCCCTCCCCGGCCCGCCCCCTCGGGGCGCTCAGACCTGCAGCGCCCCCTGCCCGCCGCCCAAAGGGAGGTTGGGGGTAGCTCCCCGCCTGGACGCGCGCAGCAGGACTGAAGGTTCGTTCAAGACCACGTGGGCGCTGGGAGAGCGAGAGAGTCTGTGTCCGGGTGTGCGTCCGTTGCGCGTGGGCGTCCCTGAAACGTGCGCACGCCTGTGTGTGTGTGTGTGTGTGTGTGTCCACCCTTGCCAGGGTCTAGGTCTTCACTGTCCAACTATTTCTTCACCCATTCACTTAGCAATCTATTAACTGAGTGCCAAGTACGTGCCAGACACTGGGTCTCCACCCACCAGAATGGCTTAAATGAGAATGACAGATTGCACCAAGAGTAAGCGAAGAAATAGAGCGACCGGACCTCTCATATTTCTGGGAAGTGTAAATTGGTAGAGACACCTTGGGAAGCGCAGTTTTCTATTGAAGCCTAAAATACACCCCAACGTTATGATCCAGCAATTCCACTCCGACATCATCAATACCCAACAGAAATGCGTAGTTATGAGCACCAAGTGAGATGTACTGGGACGTTCCTAGTGCTATTTATAACAGCCTCAAACTGGAAACAACCCTTCAAAGGAAAGCAGAAAAGGAGCTGGAGCCTATTCACACCTTAGACACAGAAAGGAGCATGATGTCCCACGACAACCAAAAAGGGGGACAAGTCTCACGAAAGAAGTCAGATACAACTGTACACACTCTATGATTCTGTTTATATGACGTTACAAACAGACAAAACTAATTTATGGTGTGAGAAATCAGGATAGTGGGCACTCTGGGACTGTGAGGGGCTAAGAGGGGTCTCTGGGAACTGGTCGTGTTCTGTTTCTCAATCTGGTGCTGGTTCCCTGGGCATATTTACTCTTAGAAATTAATTAATGTTTGCACTTTTCCCTATATATATTATGCATCAAGTAAAACTTTATTTCAAATGAGCATGTCTTGGTTGATTTGAAGCTGTTTGCCAGCAGATATGACATGTATTAACTTGTGTTGCTGTGTGCGTGTGCTTTGATGGGACTATGTCCACAGAGGTTAAAGTATAGGAAGATGGTTACAACAGCATTGTTGGAGCCAAACTGCTGGGGTAAAATCCCACCTCTGCTTATCCAGTGACCCTGGAGAAGTCACTTGTCTCTAATTCCTCAACTATCACATGGGAGCGAGTTAATAAGTGTATAGCTCTTTAAACAGTGCCTTGTGCATAATAAGTACACAATAAATATTTGCTGTTAATAAGTATGTGATTGTGGCCCCTACCAACAGTCTGACTTCATGAATTGTAACTGCTGTGCCCTCTGCCAGTAATCCCTTTCTTCCTTTATTCTGACATTACCTTCACAGACACCCTGGCCTCCTTCCCAGCCCCTTCATTCACATTACCTGCTGTTGTCTGTAGTCTCCCCCATCAGACTGTGAGCTCCTCAAGGAATCAGACAGCAAGTATGGATCACCCCAAAGCCCAGGACAAAGTAGGCATTTGTCCGTTCCAGGTTAGTGGAAGTGACGTGGATGAGATAGCCCACTCTGTACCTGCCTCTGTAGCTTAATCCTGTGTGAGAATTAGTCTGTAAGCAATAGGAGAGGATGTCAGAAGGGTTCTCTTACTGAACCCGGTAAAGTGAGATGAGCTGGTGTATCAACCCCCCCCCCCTAGTAAGTGGGAGGAGACAGAGAGCAAAAGGTATCTAAGATAGGCCAGGAGGTGTATGTCTGGGCAGGTGCAGCCCAAGCCTTAGGGCCTTTTCTCGCTTCTCTCGAACTCCCTCTCCCTCTCCTTCCCAGCCTAGAAAGAGTGCCGGCACATTCCTGTCCTGCCAGCTCCACCCTTTCCTAACTCCCCAGTTTTCTACGAAAACCAAGCCTTGCCCTAGATCTGAGCCTGAGCCTCCTACTCCTGAAGTGATGCAGGGCTGCCTCCCAGACGTAGGCACCCCCAGCACTGAGGTCCCAAGTCCACCATACCGACAACCTGCCACCCGCCTCAGGCCCCTTTCTCGACTAGGCAGAGCAGGCAGTGAACTAAGCTCCGGCCACGGAAACTTGCCTGGGGCGGGGGAATTGGGGGGGGGTGAGCCCTGATTGGCTGCTCCCGGGCCCGGCCCTACCCCTTTCCCCCTTCTCCCCCACCCCCCCTGGAAGGGGGGCGTGGAGGCAACCGGGATCAGCCTGGGGCCAGCATGAGCCGGAGGGAGGGAAGTCTGGGTAAGGGGCTGAAGGGCAGATGCCGAGTACCCGAGGGGAGTAGTGGTCAGAAGGGCTGGAAACTGGGGTCTGGGCCCCGCTACCTCCGGGTCCGGGAAGGGAGCGGCCTGGGGGTTGGGGGCGCGGGGGAGAGCAGGGCCGGGTGTCAGGTAACAAGCCGTGAGCTGTTGGTGAGCTGTAGGAAGGTGCTAGTGCCAGAGCTCAGAGGAGGCTGGGGCAGTGCCTCAGGTACATGGTGTCTGGGGTTAGATCACCGGTTCAGGTACACCCTGGAGGAGGACTGGGGTCGTGGCTGAGGCTGTACGCCTGGACCCTCTTTTGAGATTTGGGAAAGAATCAGAGCTGGGGGCCAGAGGGAGGGGTAGAGTTAGGAGAGGAAGTCTTTAGGCCACAGGAGATAGTGAATGACAACAGGAGACGAAACTCAAGGCTCCTGAGATAGGAATAGGCGGTGGGAAACTCAGACCCGGTGGAGGTGGTGCGGAGCGGGAGTTGCGGAGCTATAACTACATCCCCCAGCATGCCTTGGGCGCTTGCGCGGGGCGTCTCGGGAAATGTAGTCCTAGGGCGCCACCCTACAGCTTGTGCTAAGCAAAACTGATCATTCATTCGTTGATGTTGTTTGGTACCCAGCTCTGGGCCTTGAGCAAAAAAGCTATCAGAGAGGGAATGAGTGGTACTTCAGTCTCCCAGTCTGTAAAATAAGCTGAAAGGCGCATTCCGATTTGAAGTTCTGGGCTTTGGTGATGTTGAATTCCACCAACAATCACAGAGGTACAGAGATATGTGAGACTTACCATCAAAGGGCTTCCAGGATGAAACCAATTCACACAGATAAAAGAGCCATTAAAATGACTACCTTGGAAGTATGAAGAAAAGGACTAAAGTAGAAAGAAGAAGTTAATTTAAAAGAGAGGTGAATCTGAGGCTGCACTGAGGAGGCAGTATTTGAATTTGGCTTTAATAATATTCCAATAGTGAATTGACGACAGGAAACATATTTCAGGTAGAACAACCATTTGGAAAATATCTGGTGCCTCACTTTCCCTCAGTTGGAATGGGGCAGAGCCTGCCTGGCTTTAAAGTTGGGGAATTCAAAGCTGAGCTTCTGGGTTAGGGAAGAAAGTGGTCAGAAGGAGTAGAGGTTTGGATTACCCTCATTCCTCCTCTCCTTTTCTCACCAGAAAACCCCCAGGCTGACTCCTCAGTCTCATCCCTTCCCCAGTTGGAGGCCAAGATCCATCAGACACAGAGCCTTGCCCGCCTCCTCACCAAATATGCTGAGCAGCTGCTCCAGGAATATGTGAGTGTGGATGGGTATGGGGTGCCAGAGGCCTGGGGGCCAGGGAAGTACAAACCACAGGGTTTCCTGACCACCAGTTTTTCTCAACCTCATTTCCCAGCTGCAGAAATTGGGGCTCCGAGATGAATCAGTAACTTGGCCCTGGCCACAAAGCAAATTGGAGGAGGACCATCTTTGTGCCCCAAATGCCCCTCTGTCCACCTCTGCTTGGAAGCTCCCTCCTTGGTGCTTTCAGACAGAGGCAACCTGAGAATGAAGAGATCTCTGGTCTGAGAAACAAAAAACCTAGCTTCTAGGCTCTCTGTGGTTTTGTCACCCCACCTCCATGGGCCTTGGTTTCCCCAGCTGTAAAATGAGGAAGTTGAACAAGATGAGCTGTGAACTCTTCTACCTGTGCTATGCAGAGAGGCCAAGAAAGGGTCTCAACCTGTGACAAAAATTCCATCCCAAGAGGGGACTTTTACAAAGGAAGGGGATCTGCCAACATCTTCGGTTGGATAGTGGGCCCTGCCCAAGGACAGAAGGAATTTTCCCAAATTACTCTGGTGTAGTGGATGAATGTTATGGATTTGAATCAGGCAGACAGTGGGCCTGACACATTGCCATGACTTTGGGCAGGAGTGATAACATTAATGATGTAAAAACTATGACAGCATGTAGTGGGATAATAGAGTTACCTTTATAGTCCAGCCAACTTTGGTTCAAATTCCAGCTCTGTCTCTTCCTAATGGGTGACCTAAGTCATGTCACTGTATCTCTTCAGCCCCAACGTGTTCGTTTTCAAAATCATCATTATCATCACACCCATTATTGGGAAGATTAGAAGTAATGTAGTAGGGTGTTTAAACCAGCAAGCACAATGCCTGAGCCAAAGGCAAGATGTTAGCAAAGGATAAATGTTCTAGCAGTTTTACAAATTATAAATCACCTTAGGTTTTTGTTTGTTTTTTCATATGACAATTATGCAAAGAGCCCTTGCTGTGTGCCAGGCAAAGCAGAGGTGAGCAAGGACGAGGGGAAGAGTGATACAGACTAGTTCATGCACTATCTTACGGGAATCTCTGGTTGGAAAACAGGACGGGGAGCTGTTCCCGGCCTCACTCCCACCCCCATTTTACAGAAGACTGAGGCTCAGAGAAATAAAATGGTTTTGTAAGAAACTGAACAGGTAGTGGAAACAGGATTGCAACCTAGTGCGTAAGATAGCATTAATAAAAGAACTATCATTTATTGTGTGTTTCCCCTGGGCCGAGACCTGCCTTAAGCTTTTTAACATGCTCATAAACTACGTCATGAAGTTGATAGTGTTGTTATTTTCACTTTAGAGCGGAGGAAACAAAGGCACTTTTTTTGTCGTTTTGTATTACTTCAAACACAGCAGCTCTGTTAGGAGGAATTTGTCCTTTGCGAGACAGAGATACCGAGGCCCTAGGAGACGGGAGGAATTCCGAAAGTCCCACTGACGGCCCTGTCTCCACAGGTGCAGGCCCAGGGAGACCCCTTCGGACTGCCGGGCTTCTCTCCTCCATGGATGCCTGTGGTGGGCTTGAGCGCTCCGGCACCCGGCCACGCGGGCCTGCCGGCGCCCGAGCGGTTGCAGCTGGATGCCCGGGCATTGGCCGCGCTGCCACCGCTGCTCGACGTGGTGCGCCGCCTGCAGGCCGAGCTGAACCCGCGCGCGCAGCGCTTGCTGCGGCGCCTGGAGGACGCAGCGCGCCAGGCCCGGGCCCTGAGCGCTGCAGTAGAGGCAGTTCTGGCTGCGCTGGGCTCAGAGCCCCGCGGGCCCTGGCCCGAGCCCGCCGCTGCCACAGCCGCTGCTACCACCGCTGGCGTCTTTCCCGCCAAGGTCCTGGGGCTCCGGGTGTGCGGCCTCTATCTCGAGTGGGTGAGCCGCACGGAAGCCGACCTGGGCCAGCTGGTGCCCGGGGGCCCGGCCTGAGCGCGGGCGCGGTCCTCGGCTTGCTGGCACCTTCTCCTCACCTGTCTTCATCTCTCCATCTCTCTGTCTCTGTCTGTTGTCTCTTTTTGTCGTGTATGCTCTCTGTCTCATTTTTCTCTAGAGACCGTCTTGTCTCCATATGTGACTTTCCATGTGCATCATATTCTTGCTTTCTCTCTCTTTCCTCCGTCGCTTGGGTCTGCCTCAGTCTCTCTTAGTTCCCCCTCCCCTTTACCAGTTTCTGGGGGGCACTTTGTGCCCCTTTTTCCTCTCTTATCTACTTTTGGCCCCATATAAGCACATGTACAGCTCAACCTCATCTCAAGAAGGGGACACCTTGTCACTCTGTTTCCCTCTGTCCCTCTCCCTCTCCCTTCCCCATCACATCCCAGCCCTCTCTCCCTCTCATGCCCTTCCCCTCCGTCACTTCCCTCTGCCCTATTCTTGCATTTCCTCTTCCCCCAAGCCAGGTCTGTGAAGAGAAACAATTTACACCTTAAAAGAGTTTCATTTCTGATAATAAATCAATTTTTGTAAATAAAATGTTAAAAAAATAAAAAGAACACAAAAGTTACCAGTATATATACTTGTTGAAAGTGGGGGGACACCTTTGAGAAGAATAGGATCCTTGGGGTATATCCTGGCCCCTGAGACATACCCGAGAGCCACAGTATAAATAGGAGATTCCTGAGAGACCCAGGCCAAGGATGCCATCTGTCAGCCCAGAACAGGAATGAATGTGTCCTGATCAGGAAACAGTTGTGGCATGAATCCTTAGTTTTTTAAGAATCGAACTCCCATTGATCAGGAAGTAAAGCCCCTTAAGATGGGAAGTTGTAACAGTGGCACAGTCAGAAAAGGAGACTAGGGGGGGAAATGGGCTCCAGCAAGAAGAGAGGCCCAGCTGCTCCACAAAGTCCGTATCTTCATACAGGAAGTGAGGTAGACAGAGACATGAAGGTAGCCCCTAAACCTTCTCAAAATTACAGGAAGGGGAAGGTCTCAAGGAGAGCTCAGGTAGGAGACCAAGTGTTTGTTCCCCACGGAGTGGAAGTGAAGCCTCTTCAAAGAGGCATTTCTCTCCACCCAGGAAGTGGGCAACCTGTACCACTGGATTGGTAATTCATGAAATGATATTCATGGGATCCCACCCAGATCTGGAAGGGAGGCCTTAGGACCTAGGCAGGAAGGCCTGTTTCCTAGGAAATGTTCCCCAAACATGGCACACAAACCCCGCCTGCTAGACAAGATGTGTTTTCTTTCCAGCGAAGAAGCAAGGCAGAAAAGAATCCATTGTGACAGGAGAAGTATTGCAGCCTCTGACAGGAAGTCCTACCTCCTCTATCCAGGGTATTTGGCCTTGAGCAGAGCCAAGTCTCTCACAGCTCTGTCTGTCCAGTAGCCATATTCCCGGATCACTACATAGCCTCGACATTTCCTCTCGAAGGCTGAGGCTCCAAAGGGCTTGGAGACAAGCCCAAGAGTGTCCTCTTCAGGGGGGATGGACAGGCCCAGGGCAGTCACGATGGCAGCCATGTTGCCCAACAGGCCTTGGGCCCTGAGTCTCGTAGCCCTGAGCTGAGCCAACAGGATAGGACTGCCAGGGTTCAGGCTGCTTTGGTCATCCCCCACGAGCTGGAGGTGCCGGGCCAAAGCCAGGAAGGCCCCCTGGGCACGGCCCAGCCGCTCCCCATCATCCAAGGCATGCCAGGTCCTGAAGGAGACGGTGGCAGGTGGCAGGCTGCTCAGCTGGAGCTCAGGGGCTGAGAAGCCAGGCTCACTAAAAGGGCTGCCCTGGTACTGGAGCTGCATGAGGGACAGAGACAGGAGTGAGGGGACCAAAGGGGTACCCTGAGACTCCCCGTGATTTTACATTTGCCTTTTATGAGACCAGCATCTTCCCAGGGGGAGTTGCTATCTTCTACCCTTCAGCGAGTTGGTGGGATGTCCTAGCACAGATCCTGGGCTCTATTGGGTTCCAATTTAGTTTCTTCCATGTACAAGTTGTACGACTTTGAATCATGGCTTCAATAATTCCCATGTGGCAGTATTATCGTGAGATGATAAGTAATATATATATAAAGCTCTTAGCACAGCACCTGGTATACAATAAGAGCATGATAAGCCACCGTTAATGGATAATATATGTATATTAATATCAGGAGCACATATTGTAGTAATTATTTATTATAATATTTTCAATCTCAATATATTATTGACAATATAGTTACAGCCCTGTGTATTTCTTTTTTATTTATAGCATTTGGTTGTTTATGTTGGTTGATTTTACTATAATCATTGAGAAGTAATTGTTAATATTATAAAATTTAGTTGAGTGCCTTTTTCATTAAAGTCCTTACCTCCACAAACCTAGATCCACAGAATCTTACTGCACACTGATAAATTCCCTCACAGATAAGTCACCTAGTTTCACATCCCCATTTTACAGGTGGAGAAGGAGGCTTAGGGTGCCCCAAACTACCCATGGAATGGTAGCAGGTATGGGACTAGAAACTAGATTTAGTAACTCCACCTGGGCCTGGAATGGGCCTCCACATGGACAGTGGAAGAGTCACACACTCTAGAAGTCCAGGGGCAAGGCAGATGGCGCAACTCGGAGAAGAAAGGAAGACTAAGATGGACAGGGGGTGGGGGCTCAGGAGTTTTGACCAGTGGGATCCCCGTGTCTGTTTTGGACAGGCATTCAAATTCCAAATTGAACAAGCACTGCATGGCTCAAACAGGAAACATCTGTTGGTCAGACCCAGCCAACAGGCTGCCAGTTTGAACTTCTAGACAGTTGGGGGACGTGGGGAGAACTGGCAGGAATTGGCATCGAATGTCACAGACCTGGTTTAAGACCCTGGCACTGTCAGTTACTAGCTGTATGACCTCCAGCAGACTATTCACGCTCTCTCAGACTCAGTTATAATCCACTGTAAAGTGGATTAGAACATGTCTCAGAACTTGCTGGGGAGTCTGTAGGATAATGAGAGAGAGTAGTGCCCCGCATGGCAGAAGGATCAAATGCTTGTGGAAGTAATTGTGACCCAGTGAAGCCCTTCCCTCTGCATGCTTCCTTTGAATCTCCTAATAGTCCTGACAGGTCAGCAAAGGGGGGGGGGTCACCATCCCATTTTGCAGATGAGGAAGCTGCCACTGAGAAAGAATGACTGACCCAAGGTCACCAGCCATCAGTGACAGTGTTCATGTGGGTATGTCTCTAGCTGACAGACCCCCTGTGCCCTCGGACCCATGGGGGAAACTTCTCCCGGCCTTGCTCTATTTCCCCTATGCAGGGCTGGACAAGGAAGGCAGTGTTCCTCTCCCCTTGTCCCCTCTCATGCCAAGTATCACTCACATATGTCTGTAGCAGCATTGACGTGTTCTTCTGCATGTAGAGGGCCAGGCTGTAGGCTTGACCGATGGCCTCAGCCGGGGAAGTGGGGGCCCCCAGACTTTGGGACAGCAGCAGCAGGGGCAGCAGGCAGAGAGGGGCTGGCAGAAGAAATCAGAGGTCAGACCCATGCCCCTGACCCTGTCTACTGATTCATTTATTCCTTACAACAACTCGAATGGGTACAACCCTTGTGGTCCACAACAACCTTGAGTTGTTGGGTACATCCAAGTCAGGGCAGAATCACCCTGAAAGGAGATCTCCAGTCCAGAAGATTCCCTTCAACTCCAGACCCATATATTCAACTTCCTTCTTGACATTTTCCCTTAGATATTAATAAGCATCTCAAACTCAAAATATCTACTACTCAGCTCTAGAGTCCCCTCCCACAGTCTTCCCATCTCTGGTCAGAGCACTTCCATTCTTCCAGTTGCTCAGGTCGAAGCCATGGGGTCCTCTTTGAGGTCTTCCTTCCTCTCTACATTCAGCCCCACAGTAAATCCTGTTGGCTCTGTCCTTAAAAGGTAGCTGGCTACTCCCCGAATCCCAGCTGCCAGCACCTCTCACCTGACCATTACAGTGGCCTCCCTGCTGGTCTCTGCTTCCACCCTTGCCTCCACCCTACCTGCCGTAACCCCTCAAGTCCAACCCCTTAGATCCCTCCCCTGCCTGAACCCTCCCGTGGCTCCCACCTCACACCGAGTGAAAGCCAAAGTCCTCAGTGTGGCCCAGAAGGACCGGCCTCTCTTCACTGGCCTCCATTCTGTTCTGCGGCATTCCCCTTAGGCCTGCCAGGACCACCCCCAAATCTTCCCGAGGCTGGCTCCTTCTTGTGCTTCAGGCTGCAACTCATATCAAAAGCCTTGGCCTCTCCCAGATTTACAGTCTCCACAGACTCGTGCTATTTGCAACTACCTCGTTTATTTGTTTGTCTACATGCTTGTTGCTGTCTCTGCCCCTAGAATGTTGGCTCCAGGAAAGAGGAAACCACACCTGGTTTCCCAGCACCTAGCACAGGGCTTAGTATTTTTCAAATGAATGAAGAGTTGCTGTACACATCCTTCTCCCAGCCTCTGTGGGCACTTTCAAAAGTGGAAATATCTGGATTGGAGGGTATGCTCGTTTTCAGTTTGAGTAAATGCTGCCAAATTGTCCTGTCAAAGGTCAAGCCCAGTTTACGTTCCCACCAACAGTGTAAGGCTCAGAGGCAGGGAAATTCTTAAGGTTGCTAGCAGAAAGCAATGGAGATGAGAGGCAAACCAGAATGGCCTCCTTTATTCTCCTTTCTAGATTCCTGGGTTCCCAGAAGTTCAAAACTTAAGGGAAGTTCTGAAAGTGAAGGCTCATTCATTCATCCATCTACCCATCTGTACATTTAACAAACCTGGATCATTGTACTTACCTTCTATCATGGCACCCTAATTTACTTGTTTATTACATGCACCACTACCACCTGTGTGCAGAATGAAATCCCCACGAGACCATGGATTTTTGTCTCTTTGTTCACTGCTCTATCACCAAAAGCTTAGATTATTTTTTTTTTTAGATTTTATTTACTTATTTATAGAGAGAGGGGAAAGGAAGGAGAAAGAGAGGGAGAGAAACAGCAATGTGTGGTTGCCTCTCCCGCACCCTCTACTGGGGACCTGGCCTGTAACCCAGGCATGTGCCATGACTGGAAATCAAACTGGTGACCCTTTGGTTCACAGTCCAGCACTCAATCCACTGAGCCACACCAGACAGAGCCAGGTTATTACCTAGCACAAAATAAGCACTCAAAAACTACTTCTTGAATGAATGATGAATGAATGAATGAATGAATAATGAATGAAGCCTTCTGTGTGTGACAATGTGGTGTTTCCCAGCAGATGCAAAAACAGCCAGGCATAGTTGGGCCAGAAGGCCAGGCATTGCCCCCTTTGAAACCTCCTGGTCTTTGGGACCCTGATGCCCCAGCCCCTTCACTCACCCAGGGAACAGCTCATGTTCTCTCCTTGGCTCCTTCCTCTCTGCAGTCTCTGGGTCATTCCAGGCACCTGTCCTGTCCCTCAGATGGCTTTATACCTGGGGTGAGCCCTGGGGCTGCCCAAGGGGGAGGGAAGGAGACACATGGGGGAGAAGAGGAGATGCAGAAGCTCCAGAGGCAGGGGACAGGCAGGGAAGGGGACACTGAGGTG